ACCTTAAATTCAAGAAAAAGTGGATAGGATTGGAAGTTAACCACAGTTGATCAGCCAGAAATGATGAAATATTGGACCAGAGTGATGTTGGTGGAAAGGGAGCAAAGTGGACACACTGATTACATCTGATGGCTCTGTAGAGTCTCTCCTACTCTGTGTGACCTAGAAGGCAAGCCTGATCTATCTATAAAAATAACGCTTCAAAATTTCATTTCAAAAACTTGTTTTATTTAACAGAGGGAAACAGAGCAGTGAGAATGGAATCAAACAGTAGAGACTATGTCAGTAACTTAAAGTTCCACAACTGCCTCAATGTGCATCTTCTCTCCAGGTCTCTCAGAGAACCTTTCTTTGTCTTAATTTTATATCTGACTGCACCAATAGGTAGACCAGGCTTCAGTTTTTAAATTCCATTCCAACAGTCTCACTAAAAACCAGAAAGGCTTCAGTTGGTTATCAGACCTATGCTCACTAGCAGGATGACCACAGAAAAGTGACTTATCTTTTCAGAGCCCCTTTTCCTTATCTGTAAAGAGTAAGCAAAGATAGCTATAAGATCACTATCAGATTTACATAACATGTGAATGTATTGTGCAAGTTATAATAAGCTGTTCAAATAGAAAGCAGAATTTTTTTAATGTTTAATTTTTTAACTATTTTTTTAAGTTTATTATTTTGAGAGAGAGAGTGTGAGTGTAGAAGGGGCAGAGAGAGGGGGAGAGAGAGAATCCCAAGCAGGTTCCACACTGTCAGTATAGTGCTTGATGTGGGGCTCAAACTCACAAACTATGAGATTATGACCTGAGCCGAAATCAAGAGTTACACGCTTAACTGACTGAGCCACCCATGCACCCCTATAATTCTTTTTAAAAAAATATTTATTTTGACAGAGTGAGAGTGTGTGTGTGTATGCAAGCAGGGGAGGAGCAGAGAGAGGAGAGAGAGAGAATCCCAAGCAAGCTCCTTGCCATCAGCACAGAGCCCCATGTGGGGCTTCATCTCACAAGCAGTAAGATCATGACCTGAGTTGAAATCAAGAGTTGGATGCTCAGCCAACTGAGCCACCCAGGCCCCCCAGGAAGGATAGGTTTTCTAATAGAAATACATACAATAATAAATGTATAGTAAATACAGTCAGATCTCCAGAGATCTGTATTAACCTATTTAGTCTTCTCAAAATTAAGAGATGAAGCAGATAGGGAATACAATTATGCACATTTTATAGATGAGAAAACCAAGGCACAAGATGAAGCAAAATAACTTTGTCAAGATCAAACAGCTGGTAAGAGGCAGAGGCTAGTCTTCCCTCTCAAGCAGTGTGACTGGAGTCCTTGCTGATGTTTAAACCAGTGATTCTCCAACTGTAGCTATAGTAGAAACTCCTGAAGGGGGTTGTTAAAACACAGATTGCTGGGACCTACCCAGATATGTTCTGATTTGGTAGGTTATGAGACAGGGGTCAGGAATTTGCTTTTCTTACAAATTCTAGGAAGATTTGGCTGCCGCTGTTCCCACTGGTCCTGGGACCGTGCTTTGAGAACTACTGCTAAATAATGTTGCCTACTTATAATGATCTGAGCACCAAATTCTGGTTTGCATGTAAAATCAATTTCATTTCATATCATTTCAATATATGCCAAATTTTAAGGAATGAAATTTCCAGATAAATCAACAGAGGATTTTACTTTTTCTTTCCCGTGGGACTTGACCAAGTGTTATCTAGTGTCAACACCAAGGTATGGTGGTTGAATGACTATCTGATGAGATATTCTAACTGAAATTATTTCTCGACAATCTGATCAGATATTTGTGTTCTAACTTACTGAAGTTATTTTTATTTTTGGAGAAAAGGCACCCATCACTTTTATTCTGATTCTATAATTTTATATAGAGACATAAAGAGTAAAATATCTGAATGTCTTATTCTGTTTTCCAGCACATTGATCCATGAGCATTAAAAAAAAAAAATTTTTAATGTTTTATTTATTTCTTAGAGACAGAGAGAGACAGCATGAGCAGGGGAGGGTCAGAGGGAGAGGGAGACATAGAATCTGAAGCAGGCTCCAGGCTCTGAGCTGGCAGTCAGCACAGAGCCTTACACGGGGCTTGAACCCACAATCCATGAGATCATGACCTGAGCCGAAGTCAGACGCTCAACTGATCCATGAGCATTTTAGATGATAAAATATGTCTTTTCATTAGAAGTTTATTTAAAATATCTTTTCATTTATTCTTTATATTAAATTTGGTATTTTATTTTTCTTTTTTATTAAACGTATAAGTAGATTATATTATATATACACGTTTCACTTCAGAATGGTAAAGGTCTCTATAAAATGTTTGTTATAAAATTAAAACGTAGGGCCTGATCAGTTTGAAATCACTAATTTTCCTCCTTCCTTGCTAATGGAGAGAGGGCTAGCATTTTATTTTGAGGGGAAATAGTTTGGAAATTAGCAGATAATTGGAGACAAACTAAATTTAAAATCAAATTACCTGAGGTTTATTTTGAATCTCTGTAACTAGCATTATGACATCTAGTGAGTTATTATCATCTCTGGATCTATCCTTTCTGATATTAAAATTAATCCATTAGACTAAAAATTCTCCAAGATCCCCTTTTAGTTATCATTCAGTGAATAAAGACTATTTAAACTACCATCACAAGTATGTATGCTACTTGATTACATCTATCTAAGAAATTTCCAAGTGGATTGTTCAACTCTTCAACATTGACAACCTGGTAAAAGTTTTCATGTTTTAACAAATAACACACTTTCCCAGAAACTTAGGAAGGCAATGCTACTGTGTCAGTGTATCTTTAAGTGTGTTAGTATAATTACATGATGTCAACTTTAAATCTCAAGCATAGGGCTATGAACTGTAAAAGGCCACACCCTTGCCTTTGCAGTTTTTGCCTACATTAGAGAGCATACTCACTTCTGAGCTTTCAAGAGCAGTTCCTCTTGCCAAATTGAAATTGGCTCTCAGGCTTCGAAACCAAGATAAGGTTATATAGGGGAGAAAAGAAGTTTCCTCTACCCTTCACAAGTTCTCCTGGCTGGCCTCAGGATTAAATGGACGGGAAACAGATTAACAGGGGGAAATAAAATATGATTTTGTATGTATAGGAACCGCACATATAATGATAAGTTCAAAGCCAGAAAGGTAAAATGAGGTATGTACGCTGTCCTGGGCTGAGAAATGGGCTAAGGGCCTGGCGCCTCAAAGGAGAAGGGGACAATTCACAGGGCAATAAGAAGAAGAGCAGATATTTGGTAATTAGATGTTTGCCCTATCATGCAGATAGGTCAGTCAGATAAAATGCATTTCTGGCGATAACTCTAATTCTGGGAATGATCCCCAATTACCTAGATTTTTCTAGGTAGTTGAGGGATAAAAAGTTTCTTTTCTCAAAAAAATATTTTTTAAACATTTATTTTATTTTAGTTTTTGAGAGACAGAGACAGAGTATGAGCAGGGAGGGGCAAAGGGAAAGGGAGACACAGAATCCAAAGCAGGCTCCAGGCTCTGAGCTGTCAGCACAGAGCCCGATGTGGGGCTTGAATCCAGGAATGTGAGTCGTGACCTAAGCCAAAGTCAGACATTCAACCCACTGAGCCACCCAGGATCCCCTAAAAGTTTCTCTTGATCTGGTAGAGTCTTGATTGCCTTCAGCTCAAAGTCCACATGCCTCAGTGGCATGTTTTGGGGAGACTTGCTCTGAACTCCCTCAGTTATTATGCATTTATTTTAACACCCCAGGACAATTTCTGTGTGTGTGTGGGGGGGGACATACATTAGTGGGGGAGGGGCAGAGGGAGATTGAGAATCCCAAGCAGGCTCTGTGCTGTCAGCAGGGAGTCTGATTCAGAGCTCAATCCAGGAACTTGATGGAAATCCATGATCTGAGCCAAAATCAAGAGTGGGATGCTTAAACAACTGAGCCACCCAGGGGCCCCAATTTTTTAGCAGTTGTAAGTCATAATCTAGGGAGACAAAGGTGAATAAGATGCATATTTATTTGTAACCAGTGTGATGAGGACAAAATGCATGTACCCTAGAGGGCAGAGACACATAAAGGTCTATCTTGTTCATCACTTGCCCTTGATGCTCACACGAGGCCTGACACCTAACAGGCTCTGTGCACAAAAGAAGCCCCAACTTCTACCAACAGCCAGGAAAGTCAGAAGAGTGCTCCCAGGAAAGGGTGATATTTAAGCAAAGAGGCACTTGGAAAGAGTGTTACCTAGTAATTATTAGCAGGCAGACTGGCACACTGGACCTGACCATAAGACTAGCTTTCTCCCACCAGTTTCCTTCCTCACTCTGGGCAAGTTACATCCTCTCTCTGGGCCTCCTGCTTTTCATCTGTAAAATGAGAAGGGGCTGAGCTACATAATCTCTGACAGCTTTTGTGCATGTGTGCGAGTACATGTGTTAACTAAATCCTATAAAGTTTGCAGGGGTTAAAAACAACGAATACACAAAAAACTGCAAGTTTGCACTACAACTCAGTCCTCTTGGGGATAATTGGTAAACAACATTAACAGGAAACGAAACAAAAGCAAGCAAAAAAACTGCTGTGAAAGTTTTGGAAAATGGAAGAGCAGTTCGCAAACAGATGGGGTGGCTGGGGGTAGCAAGTAAAATTTTTCCGAGGGGGTACAAAATCACCAAGTTGGTGAGTTGGAGGGAGAGGGAGTAAAAGAAAACTCCACTTATTAGATGGCTTCTTCTTTAGGCCTTTTTCACACTTTCTGTCTATTCCCACTCCGCATCCCTCACCTCCCTACTATGTCTCTGTCTTCTGATCTTTGGTCCCTGTCTACCCCCGCACATTCTCCCCCCACCCCTCCGGCCCCGCCCCCTGCCCTCGGTTACTTCTCGTGGAACAAAGTCACTGTGGCTCTTAAATCCTATTTAACCCGGCAGGTTCTCTCGAGGGTCAGGTGGAGCTGCACGCAGCCAGGCGCTGACCGGCGCGCCCCCCGGAGCCGGTACCTGCTGGGCGGGACTGCTCCCGAGCGCCCTCCCCCACGCCCCCCCCCCACCCGGGGCGCGAGGCCCCGACCCCGCCCCTTGCTGGCGGCGGGTTTCCGGCAGCTCTGGCTATTATAAGAAGCGCGCTGCGCGGATCGCTTAGCTCTCAGTGTTCTGCTCTGCGGCGACAACTTTGTCTTCCTCCTTCCCTCTGGGGCCCCGCCAGCATGGGCCCCCGGCTCCCCTCGCCGCTCGCCGCCGTCCTGCTGCTCTTGGCCGGCGTCGGCCCCGCGCACTGCGACACACCTGCCAACTGCACCTACCCTGAGCTGCTGGGCACCTGGGTCTTCCAGGTGGGCCCCGCTGTTTCTCAGCGCGACGTCAACTGCTCGGTTATGGGTAAGCCGCCGGCGCCCCCAGCCGCTCCCCCTCCCCGCTTCGGCCCGGGACTCCTTCCTTCGCGTCGCGACCTCTCTGCCCACGCGGAGCGCCGCCACCCGAGGCCCCAGGCCGGGGCCAGTGGGAAGCCGCGACGGACTTGAGGCCCCTTGACGTGACCTTTCCCGCTCCAGGGCCGAGACGCCCTAGCTCAGCGGCTGAGAACTTCTAATGGCACGTTTCCTTAGTGATTCCCGGGGCCTAAACACTTTTTCGAGAACTTCTCCCCCCCCTCTTTTGGTTTACTTGGTTTGGAAGACCGTTGAGACCGTGCAATCTAATGATCTCCTTCCCCAATCTGCATATTTTAAAAAAAATTATGCCTATGAAAAATAAGCTCGAACATTGGAGAAAATAGCAAAAAAAAAAAAAAAAGGTTTTTTCCTTGTGTTAGCTTGTGGGGAAAGAGTCCTTTTGTCCAGCGTTTTTGACTTACAAGTGTGTTGATACCACTAGTCCGAGAAAACTTTGGATGTCTCGGCACTGTTTTCATGTATTGCAGGGAGATAGATAAAAGTACACCCCCCCTCCCCATTCTTTCTTTTCCTTCCTTTCTTCTTCCTTTTTTTTTTTTTTGGAATTAACTCTTCAGTCAGTAATTCTATTTGGGAATGCCCAGAGCCAAACCCAAGGCTGGCTTGTGGAAAACTCAAAAAGTGTCTGGTGTTAGAACACACTGGGAGATTCCATATGCCCTCAGAGAACATCGCTATCCTGAAGACCAGGAATTTAGTGAAGGGAGAAGAAAAAAACCCAATCTCTGGTCAAAAGAGACACTCTTGTTCTGGTAAACCCTCACCGCCCTGTGGCATGTGCATAGTGAGTGAAGCTCTCAGCTGCAATTTCCTTGTCAGCAGAGCAAAGATTGCCAGGTCATTTGTTGCTAACAGACCTATTCAACTGTTCCAACTCCAGATGAATATGTGGCATTTTGTAATCCTAAGCATTATAACCACCCTGTTCTAAAAGTTGGATTTGAAGGTCCGAAGCAGAAGGAGAACAGGATTTGCACTGTTCTGTCACATCCAGTCTCCTCTTTCAGGGTATTTATCTGAAACCTGGAAAAACTGTCCAAAGTGTCAAACCACCAGGGGCACCTGGGTGGCTCAGTCAGTTAAGCATCTGACTTCCTCTCAGGTCATAATCTCACAGTTAGTGGGTTTGAGCCCCACTCCGGGCTCTGTGCCGACAGCTAGTTCACAGCCTGGAGCCTGCTTCAGGTTCCATGTCTCCCTCTCTCTCTGACCCTCCCCTGCTCACACTGTCTCTCTCTCTCTCTCTCAGAAATAAATAAAACATTAAAAAAAATAATAAAGTGTGAAAGCTCCGGAGGGACACAGCAGAACACTTTCAGGCAATCTCTGACTATATATAAATCGTGCCTTTGACTTTAATCTAGTAAAGACACACATAGATTGAACTCCTGTCTTCTGAAGGTTGGAAGCTTAGTTCCTATCAGCACAAACTAGCTTTATAGGATATAAACCTTGAGTTTACTGAATAGTGCGGAAGGATTCAGATTATGAGGTTTTGAACTGTTAGAGCCATTGAGGAGAAAGACACTCCATTTCTTCCCTGAAAAGATAATTTCCTTTGTCCTTGTGATATGGTAGCAGAACTTTTTATATCTTACATTTTTTTGACTACCATTTTGTATTCTACCCATTTCTGCCTGTCATTTTAAACATCTCCTGTTCCTCTTCCTCAGTGTTTGGATGCGCTGGGAAGGTAGGGCTCTACTTTTTGGGATCTCTCTGCCTGCTGGGCCACGGGACATATTTCCTCTTTTGAACCTTAACTTCACAGGTTTGTTCGAAAACCCGGTGGGAGTGTACAGGGTGGAGACTCTGATATGTTCACAAACCAGACTGGTCCAAATCCGGTGGCATGAAAGGAAAGCAGCTTAAAAATAAAGGAAATTATAGAGATTTTCCTGCCATTTGAAGTCCAACTAATTTTCCTTTGTTGTGCATTGTTTTTTTTAGGCCCACCAGAAAAAAAAGTAGTGGTGCACCTTAAGAAGTTGGATACAGCATATGATGATTTTGGCAATGCCGGCCACTTTACCATCATTTACAATCAAGGCTTTGAGATTGTGTTGAATGACTACAAGTGGTTTGCCTTTTTTAAGGTTAGTTTTGTTGGGAATGCGTTTATACTTTCATTGATTTGATATCTGAAGCATCTTCTAATCAAACTCTCAGAATTTTAATTGTAGATTAAGAAGATAACCAGAATTGAGACCATTTTCCCCAAGAGCTATTAGATGGTGTAATTTTGCCACTTTGTTTAAAATTGTGAATTCAGTAAGTTAAAAAAACGATCTATATTTGAATATGTACAATCCATCTGTATTAAATTTACATTTCGGTAAGTATGACTAAATTCTTAATTTATTTTCTTTATTACTGCACCTTTATTTTTAAATGTTGTCTTAGTCACTTGGCTCTGTACTGAATGTGTAGGAGAGATATTGGTATTATAAATTTCTTTTTCTTGGGAGTTATTTTCCTATCCTATCATGGCGTGTTGACTCCGAGAAACTGATGACATTCCTCAGCTTAATGATGGATTGGTTATGTTCCAGTAAACCCATTGTAAATGGAAAATGCATTTAATACGTACCAGACATTATAGCTTAGAACATGCTCAGAACACCTAAAGTAGCCTATAGTTGGGCAAAATAATCTAGCATAGTCTATTTGATAGTGTGTTGACTATTTCATTGAATTAACTGAATAATGTACTAAAAGTGAGAAACAGAATGGTTGTAAGTGTTGTAAGTTTATCACTTGTCCACGCTTGTGACCATGGGACTGACTGCTACTGCTCAGCATCACAAGAGACTTTCCTACTGCATAGTGCTAGCCCGAGAAAAGATCAAAATTCAAAGTCTGGTTTCTACTGAATGTATATAGCTTTTACACCATGCGTTATGTGTGTAGCTTACCAGAGACAGAAGTTGGACTATTGTAAAGTCAAGGACCATCTGTGTTATAATGTACTAGATGTATTAATGTGAGTAACTCCTTTTATTGAGCTGAGACAAAGAGATGGAGAGTGAGTTATGCCTTGGGCCAAAGTAAAAGGTAGCTCTGCCAGTTCAGCCTGTGTTCTTCTTTCACTGGGGAAGTAGTATTGTCCGTTCTTCTATTCTAACACCTTGTTTCCAGTTGCACACATATACTAGGGTAAAATAACTTATTTAGCACAGATTGCAGTCCATCCCAGATAGTCTTCTAAGTTGGAACTTTTCCTGTTGGAGAATATTAACTGCTATAAGTGAATTGAGGACACAAGCCTGAGACTTGCCGTTTCTTACTATAAATAGAGTATAAACAGAGACAGACTTTTTCATGAAGTAGGGTTTACAACTTCTGGAACATCTGGTAAGAGTTGACCAGTTACAGGGATCTGTGGGAAAGTGGGGAATGAATCTGTTAAAGATAGTAAAAGACAAAGGACTAACAGAGTAACCTCTGACTTTACATGATTTGTCTCACATGGCTTGTGATTTAATCACTGGGATATGGTGCTACATCTGAGCCAAGTATACTTCTTAGAATAACAACTTGTTGTTGTTAACCATGAGAATCCCTCTTTAATGTGAAAAAAAAAAAAAAAAAGGGAAGAGAGACTAAGAGGAAAAAAATTTCCCTCTTGCCTGTTTTAGCTGGTCTGATTCTCAGTGGGAACTGATCTATCCTTTCTGTCAGCTGAGAGCCAGCTGTTCATTTTATTAGTTGGAGCCCATACTTGACCATCTAGCAAATGTTTTAATATCACCCTAGATACTATGTATTTAAAAACAAAAACAGTATCTATATGAGTTTTTAAAATTGTGATACATAGGTTGTTAAAAGTGTAAATCAGTTTAGATATAATTCTTGGTCTGCTTAGTGATGAGCCTTGGGCTTTGCAGACCTCTTGTTGATACCCTGCTATAGCCCTTCAAAAGTTTCTTTGCCTTCAAGTTGAGAACCATTTGCCTATGGAATTGATGTACAAGGAAAGACATATTCAAGCCAGTTGTTGACTATGTACTCTACCTCCCTTCCCCTTGTCCTTTTTTGCCTAATACATAATAGACATTTAGTGTTTAATTTGTTTAAAAATTGAAAATGAATCCATGAAGTGGAATCCACTTGAGAAACAGGAGGTCCAAGTATAAGATGGGGAGTTGTATACAAATAGATGAGTAAATAAAATAGTTTTACTCACTTGGCTTAGAAAAATTTTCATCCTGGGGCGCCTGGGTGGCTTAGTCGGTTAAGCGTCCAACTTTCGCTTAGGTCATGATCTCGCGGTTCGTGGGTTCGAGCCCTGCATCGGGCTCTGTGCTGACTGCCAGCTCAGAGCCTGGAGCCTGTTTCAGTCTGTGACTCCCTCTCTCTCTGACCCTCCCCTGCTCATGCTGTCTCTCTCTCTCTCTCCTAGAAATAAATAAAACATTAAAAAAAATAAATGAAAAAAGAAAAGAAAATTTTTCATTCTTCCCTTCTATAGAATGGGAGAAACTGTTGGGCAAACTTCTAAAGTCAACATTTAATTGCCTGGGCCATAACCAGAATTGGATCTGGGCAGTTTCCCTTATTAATATTTTTCATCAGTTTGTCTGCTCTCAGCTTAAATAAGAGTCCAAAGCCGGTAGGTATAGAGGGGACAGCAGGTGGCTGGACGAGGAATCAGAATGCTTCTTTGTATTTCTCTTGAAATAGCAGTGTAAGCAGATTTGGTATTTTTCCATAACCTCAGGTTGTTAAGTCATAGGTCAGTAGAGAGCCACTTTATAAAGTCAAATAAGGTTTTAAGTGTACTCAACCACAAGTAGGAAGAATCAATACAGTTTTTTAAAAAAATTTTTAATGTTTTTATTTATTTATGAGAGAGAGGCAACATGAGCAGGGGAGGGTCAGAGAGAGAGGGAGTGACAGACTGAAACAGGCTCCAGGCTCTGAGCTGGCAGTCAGCACAGAGCCCGACGCGGGGCTCAAACCCACAAACCGTGGGATCATGACCTGAGCCAAAGTCGGACGCCCAACCGACTGAGCCACCCAGGCGCCCCAATATAAACAGTGTTGTTGGGTAGACTCCTACTTGTCATGGGCTTCTGAATGGCATTCTCTGATAAGGAATAAAAATAGGAAGAGTATTCTTCCGTTAATTGATTTCAGTATGTTTTTTGAATTGCCTTTTTAAACAGAACCATTATCAGGGGTGTGTTTTTCTGCTGAGGAATCAGTCACTCCGATTGGTAAATAGTTAAGCCTTATGATAGGATCATAATTTTAATAACCAGAGTAGAATATACATAAGATACTTGGCTTTAAAATTGTTTCTTAATCTAATCAAGTATTTCTAGATAAATCTGTTTTGCAGAGTGAGAATCTATGTTCTTTTGGTAAATCCAAGTGACCGAGTAATGGGGAGCTGAGTTTTAAATTTAAGAAAAATGATAGAGTGGAATTGACTTTGGATAATAGGAAAGGCAAATATTTTTGGTAATACTGGCTAACAGAGAAAGCTTGCTGGGTTTTACCACAAGCATCAGAGCATTTCCTGCAGAGGTACCAAATTGGGTGTCTAACTCAAGAAAAACACAAACCTCTTTTTTAAAAATAAGATTTCTTTCTTTAAGGTTTATTTTGAAAGAGAGGGAGAGAGCAAGTGTAGCAGGGAAAGGGCAGAGAGGGAGAGAGAGAGAGAAAATCTCAAGCAGACTCTGCCTGAGCGCAGAGCCCCCTATGGGCCTTGATCACAGAAACCATGAGATCGTGACCTGAGCCCAGATCAGGAGTCAGCTGCTTAACCAACTGAGCCACCCAGGTGCCACAACCACAAACCTGTTTAAATGAGCAAAGTTCTGACTTTATCTACAGACATAGAAAATATCTTTTAAGTGAAAATTAATTTATTTTAAAAAGGAAGAATTATCAAGATGTAAGCAGTATCTGTTATTTAAAGTGTCTCATGTAAACTACAACATAGTGCATTCAACCTACCACCGGTAAAGAAATAGCTGACATTTTTGCCATGAATTGTCTACTGTCTATACATTCTTAGTCTACAAATCAGTTGGATTTCCAGATCTCTCCGTTGACTCATACCAGACCCTATCATTTGTTTCCTTTTGTCCTTTTCAGATAAGCCTTCATTAGATTGCATATTTGCATTAGATTGTTTATTATTGCTGCTAGAATTCGTTGAGCATGTGGCACATACAGGGTATTCTGTTAGCTGTGTTCCACATTTCCTCCAGATTATCATGCAGCCCAGTAGAGCAGACAGCTTGCACATCACTCTCCCTGCATTCCAACTTTGTAGCAATTGTGATACCCTGCTGTTGCTAGGAACTTGCTTTATTTAGTTCTCAAGCCTCACCTGGAAGGTGGGCATTTTTCATAACCTGAGATTTGTAAGGGTTTTTTTTTTTTTTTCTTGGTTTTAACTGCTTGAGAAATTGGGAGTGAAGCGGAGATAATCTGTTGTTGAATATGACTTCAAGCTAGATAAAAGCTTGGAAAGACATAAATCTTGAAAGTGCCTGGATAGTTTGAGTTTGGTAGGAAGCACTAGGTATATATTCTTAAAAGGTACATTTTTCTACTCAACTCCCTCCATACATTCAGTTACCTGAAATTTTATAGAGGGTTACAAACTCAGATATATTTAGGACCCAGCCAGGCAGATACCTAAGCATTTGAAATGACCCTAATGTAAAACAATAAGGAATGATTAGATCAGTTGTTAAATAGAAACTTTCTTAGAGGCATTCATATTCAGTTAAAAAAAGAAAACAAAAAACCTCAATGTACTGGCCAAAGTAAATGACAGGACTATCTGCAGGCTAGTTTCTAAGAGTTATCAAATTTAATAGCATTACCATTTGGTTATAATTGGTATGTCCAATAAATTTGTATCCCTTGAAAGTACATGAAGATTAAAAGCAGCCAACTTCTTCTTTTTTTTTTTTTTTAATTTGAGGGAGAGAGAGAGAAAAGGGGGGGAGAGAGAGAATATCCTAAGCAGGCTCTGCTCTATGTTCCGTGCAGAGCTTGATGCAGGGCTTGATCTCATGACCCTGGTATCATGACTTGAGCCAAAATCAAGAGTCTGATGATCAACCGACTGAGCCACCCACGTGCCCTAAAAGCAGCCAACCTCTTATATGAAAACAGAATATAACAAAACAGGTGTTTAATTACGGCCGACTTTGTGTCGGGTGGATAAATTTTTTTTTTATGCTTTTATGTATTTTATTTTTTATGATGAGCACGTGTAAAGCTCGAGGAAGGAAGTCATATGAAAGAAACTAAGTTCCAAAGAATATCCTCAAGTTGAATTAGGCTTTCTAACCTTTTCCTGCTTCCCATTTTCACTTTCTCTGAGGCTGTAAAAAGGAACAGTAGAGCAGGAACTCAGACTTCAGACTTCATTTTTAAGATTAAGCCACTCAAGGGCTGGAGAAGATGTGTTGAAGAGAAACTAGTCTTATGACTGAAAATTTTATTTTATGACTGTCAAGCAAACCTCATTGATCTCTATGAGTTTTTGTTTGGGGAACACTAGTCTTGGTAGAACTTGAAGCTAAAAAACACTTCCATGGTTCTTTTTTTTTTTTTTTAAGTTTATTTATTTATTTTGAGAGAGCACAGGGAGGGGCAGAGAGATAGAAGAAGAATCTCAAGCAGGCTCTGCACCATCAGCATAGAGCTTGATGTGAAACTTGAACTCATGGAACTGTGAGATCATGACCTGAGCCAAAACCAAGAGTCCGATGCTTAACCGACTAAGCCACCCAAGCACCGCTTCCATGGGTATTTCTAAAGCAGGTTGCTACTTGAAACAAGAGTGGTATGTTGGGAAATCCATACCAGGAATTTATTTGCACATTTTGTGTGCTAGTGACTTGTAAATTTCAAGCTTGTCACATCAGCCAGAAATGTCAATCATATTGAAGATGCATGTTAAAGATTTGGGAATCTTGTAACATTCTTTTCACTGTCCTTTCTGGGTACATTTTTAAGATCTAACAGTTCAGCTTTTAGAATACTTGTTTTTAGGGTAATTTACTTGTTTTAGTATAAACTCAGCATACTGAGATCCAGATGTTTTTTGTTTTTTTAATTTTAACAGCTTGAGATTTACTCTTAAGAATGTTTCAGTTTAGAGAAAGAATCAGAAGTTTAACAATCCATGCCTAGGTTTTTTTTTTTTTCATGGTGATGCTTAATTGTAACATAATGACTTAGTTTACCATTGTGACCTCTTCATAGGATGTCACTGATTTTATCAGTCAGTTGTTCATGCAGCTGGGAACTGTGAGGGTTCATGATTTGAGACATCTGAGGAACAAACTGGGTGAGCTCCATTGGCCTTTTTAACTTCCCTCCGCCCTGGTGGCTTATGCAAATTACTATTTGTTTATTCATCTGGGAAAGGGAGATGGAGACTGGAGAGATTAGAGTTTTCTTACACGTTTCTTGCTTGAGCCTGCTTCTTGCTTTGCTACGTCTTACCTGCCTGCACTATTTTATGTGAGTGATCTTTCACTTGAGTTATTCTGTCTGCAACACATCGAATTGGCTGTGGCAAGTATGATGCTCATAACATAAACAGACATGAACCCCAAAGGATAAAGACCCAGTTAAGAAAAAGCTCAGGGTCACCTCACTTACTTGAAGTCATTATGCTGCCTCAGGTTGCTCATTTTTTTTCCTAAAAAGACTCCAGAGGGAACCAGGTGAGGCTCTGGCATGTTAGGTCTGTCTTCTAGTAGAGAAGTTGGCTCTTCCAGAGAAATTCATCTGCCTGGCCCTCAGCCCTGTGAGGCATCACCCACCTTTTGAAACTGACTCCTTCCAGAACAGAGACTACTGAGTAGGAAGAAGAGGGTCTTTTTCACTTTTGACATTCTCCTCACTCTTAGAAAAGGTGTTTTTTAAATTTTAATGTTAATTTTTTTATTTAGAGTGCACATGTGTGGTGTGCGCATGAGCAGGGGAGGGGCAAAGGGAAAGCAAGAGAGAATCTCAAATAGGCTCCATGCCGATCGCAGAGCCTGACATGGGGCTTGATCCCACAACCCTGGGATCATGACCTGAGCCGATATCAAGAGTTGGATGCTCAGGAGATTGAATCACCCAGGCTCCTTAAAAAGATGTTGAAAGGATTACTCTTATTGGATCCATAAATTTAGAGGTCTTAAAATTTTTATGGAAAAAGGGTGGTTAGAGAGTAAAGTTGATAGGGACTTCACCATTCCTTGCATTTTTTTAAAGGTTTTATCTTTAACTAATCTCTACACCCAACATGTGGCTTGAACCTACAACCCTGAGATCAAGGGTCACACGCTCTACTGACTGAGCCAGCGGCGTACCCTACCATTCCTTGCATTTTAACACAATAGTATTCTCCCTTTCCCTACCTTCTTTACTTAGCTCCTAAGTAAAAAGGGGATATGAAAAAGGGAACTGGGACAAGCATTGAAACCTCCATAGCTTTATCCTGTATCAGCAGTTTCCAGACTGTTAACAGACCCACAGTGGCCCACAAATGTGCTGGGCAGGCATTGCTCATTTCTGTCACTTCATCTTGTTAAACATTAGATGTTGTTCCAGGCAGCCACCATTAACAGCTCAAAGTGAAAATTAGAGGTGAAATTAGTAGGCTCTTTTTTCTCTAAATTCCTGGTAGTTGAATAAGTATAGATTGTGTTAAGTAGTTTCCCTTCTTTCACAACCTCGCAGGATCTTTTTTATATAGTGGATGGTGGTAGCTTAGGAAGAAGATAAAATAGGAAACTTACCCCAAATAAGTTCACCATTTTTTTCCTCACAAAATATAAGGTATCCTCAGAATGCAGTTGACAAAATTCTGTCTTCAAACTCTCACTCTTCCTTCTAATAAGGAATACCTCTATTAAAAGATAAACCCCCTAGTATTTGCTCTTAGTAAGTGGGATAACTACAGGGATAAATACCTGGAAATACAGATCAAAGCAGCATTAAGCCTGCATTTAGGTTTTTTAAGGTATGCATGATAACATATCTAGGTTGCTAGATTGGCCTGTTTCTTTTAAGTGCATTTAAAAATTAGATTTATACAGTGGTAATTAATTTCAAATGCATCTGCATGTGCTTGAGTGTGTTGGCTGTGTGCATGATACATGTTGCTTAAGCATTCAGCTTTGGAGAATGGCAGCTTTTTGTGAATGTCTTAAATAGCATTAAAGATTGACCAGCTTTTTAAATACTAGTATGGTTTTATTGTTTTTTATTTTTTTTTTATTGAAAAGAAAATATGATTAAACATTCTTAAGAGACAATCTGATCCTGGTTGGCTTGTAACTCTAGTTTTTATTGTCTTTTAGTTATTAAATAGAGCATCTGTTGAGGGGATCTTTTAAAACCACAGCCAAAAACAGACTGGGGCTAAGAGGCAGAGCAGCACGCAGCCGCGGACCTTCTTCCCTCTAACAGCTAGCTGAGGCCTCTAGCAGCTACATTCCCCTTCTGGAGTCTTTCTGTGCATGTAAAATGCTGAGGAGTCCTGGTGACCAGACCTACCTCCAAGGCAGCTGCCCTCCTGAACCATTTCCTTGGAAAGCAGCAACCGCCATTTTGAAATGTGAACAACCAGAGACTACAAAGGGAAAAGAAAGACATCTGGAAGTCTTAGGTGGCCTCACCATTCAGTCTTGGAATAAAAGGAACAATATGCAACTGAAGTTTTTCCTTTTTGAATATTCTTCTATTGAAGTGATTTTTCCAGACTCATTAGGATTTGAATTTTGTGTTGTATTTTGTTCATAGTGCAAGTTTTATTCCCAGTTAAATTATCTTCTTGTGTGCATTCCTTTCTTTAATTATCTTGAGGAACCATAGGACCCATTGTAAGAAGAAATTCATGCTTCAGAATATCTTGAGATGCATGGATCTAATTGGTGGAAAGATAGTTCTACAGAGGACATGTTAGGGGGGCAGGCTTTCTGAGATGAGTCTAACTACTTAACGGGTATCTCTGTAGCTCATAGGCCTGCAGTACCCTGGCCAGAAAGATGGGGTGATTAATACATTTTTTGGTCAGTTTTTTTTTAATTAGGTGCCAGTTTTGTATAAAGAACTTGATATATATTACCTTACAAGAATCTTATGAAGTAGATATTATGAGCTTCATTTTACAGATAGGAAAAATTAGTCTCTGACTGTGCATCTAATTGTAAAATGGCAAGGGCTAGTCTTTCAAGCCTACGACCTCCCTGGGGCTAAAGAGTAAATATAAATCATGGTACCTGGAGTGACATTTCAGTGGATTTTCTGGAGACACCCACTTAATAAGCATTATGAATGTTAGTTTAATGGAATGAAGTAGGCATTGCATTGGCTCCTCTTGAACAGTTTACAACTTAGATTTCCTCACCAAATGAGGCTATTCTTTCTTTTCAAAACCAGGGTCCTTTCATTCAAGACAAAAACTTAGCTTTTTTCCTTTTGTATTCTAACAAATTGGAAGGAAGGTTCTGAAACCGTCATATTAAGTAGCATTGCCTAGTTGACTTCTCTTAATTAAACTGTTGTTCTCCCTGATTGCTATCTTTTAACTCTTGCCTACTAAACAGTGGACTAGTTTCCTGCTCCATTATTCAGAACTAATGAATATCAGCCTTGGTAAACTGAAAATGTGAAACCACACCTAGTCCCTATTTTCTGGGAGGTCTTTTGTCCTGTATCTTTGCTTGAATGGAAGAATCTCTAGATACCAGATTTTTATCATTTTATTGGCTCAGAGAACTTTTTGTGACCTCTTAGTGGCACTAGTCTGCTATTCTGGAAAGGTTATCTCAGAAAGGTGAAGTAACTGTATACCCAACTACTTCTGCCTGGGTACCCTTCCATCCTACCTCTGTACCTGATAATTCATTACTCAGGACTTTGATGTCCCCTCCATGAGACCCTTCCCTGCTCTCTCCATTGGTAGGAGAACTGCCATAGTTTTGGTTCACATTGTGCTTGCAGTTTTCTGCTCCTGTAATTCTACACTAACTGCTGTAATGGAGAGATTTGATAGCACATCTTCCAGAATGAAAAGCTGTATGTCACCCTGTGTATCTTCAGAACCTGATCACATTGAACTTTATAAGTGTTTGGAAAATTGAGCACACTTCTCTTGTCTTTTCAAAGAATTTTCACAGGTAATATCAGCTTACAAAGATTTAATTCTTTTGGATTCTAGAAGCACAAATCAGGAATGATGCTGTTTATATTTCTGGTTCTGTGCCCTAAAAATATGTATCAAGTTACTTGTCTCCAAGGTTCAAAGAGTTGCATATTTTCAAACTAATTTTCAGGATGTAAATACTGACAAAGCAGCCAATATCAGTGTATAAGAATGTATTTCATATAGAATTTAAAACCACCTCTACGAAAGTCTTTTTTTCTATTTCTCTGAACAGCTTTGCATCTAAATGTTTTGCTAATGGAAAAGAAAACTTGGTAGATACAAAATTACAGATATGTGTGTTAGCAGGTGCCCTAAAATAATACTGCTTTGCATTTTCTGTCACAATTGCTTGTTTGTCTTTTCTGGCCTTTAAACTCCAAGTGCAGGGATCAACTCTGTACTACTAACCATTTTATTCCCTATGTATAGTGTAATAGATGATAAAAGGCCTTCAATAAACGTAGAAGAAAGAAAATTGAACAATGTATCATTGTATTGTTTTGTTTTATTGATGTGTTTCTGGGTGTCTTGTTACCTGTATGTAGTGGATCCTCAGGCCATATTTGTTGAATGACACAGTAGAAAACAGTGGAGACTTTTAGATTTTGTTGTGTTCATTTATTTACATTTTAATTACATTTTAATTTTTATATGAGACTGGAAAAGCCAAGACAGGGCTCAAAGTTAAAAACAGTTCTAACTTTCAGAATTACCAAAAACTAAGCCGTCGAGGTAGATAGCAAGATGGCAGATTCTGCACAGCCTGCAGTGCTGTGGGCTGTCCTGTTCCCTCCCCTGTTTTGGTAGAGTGAGAGGCAGGTGCAAAGGTTGGATTAAATCAACTCTCAGATTTCTTCCAATCTCCTAGTTTAAGAATTTATGAATGAGGAAGTGAGGAATGAGCCAGGAGGTTTTGACAACTTTATTGAGTGGTAAATTTCTACTTTAACTAATTCCAGGACCTATATTTTGTTTTAACCTGAATGTCTTTTAAGCACTGGAAATAAATTCATTTCCACGTACAAATCTATCTTTACTTCAGTAAAATCCTGGAAGGGATTTGGTTGCAACCACTTCCATTGCATTTCCACTGCAATGACTTCTTGGCAGTTTCAAAATTCATTGAATTTCAACTTTTTAAACAAATGGTTAAATCTAGTTAGGTAGAAAGCTAGAGCTAATCCTTGAAGCCAACAGAGGGAAGTTTGTTTCTTTCTGAGGAAATAGTTGGTACTCTTGGTAGGTTAGGGAAAATATCAGTTTAGTAAAAATGCTCCTTGTTCTCTTTTGTTGATACTTTACTCATACTCCAGACCTGACTGCAAGTGAAAGCAGTTAATCTATATACAGGAAACTGAGAGCAGAATTCAGTAAACATGTTTTGTTATTCAGTATTGCTGGAATGTAATATCTCTGCATATACGCTTTATCATTAAATCATTCAACTTCTTGCCAGGTGTCTTTTCCTGAAATGTTGAATGATTTTGATGGATACAACCTGGTTCTCCAATTTTTTGTTATGTATTCCAGTGTATAAAGGTACATTTAAAAAGTTATGCACATGTACTGCTCTTTGCTATCAAACACATAAAGTAGTATCAAATGATTAAATATTTGACTCACTGTCACAAAAATGGGTTTTGCCAAAATAAATTTCATGATGATATTCTTTGAAAATAATACAAAAGCATGCTTCAGTATAAGAATCTGTTATCTATAATTTTCATTACTGAAAATTTGGAAGCACAATTTTCTAATTAAAATCTTTAAGAGATTTTAGTATTTGATCCATTTTATTAAAAGTATGAAAGTATCACAGGTTTAGTGAAGTCTGGAAGTGCTCTTTGGTATTCGGGATGGTGGCAATTTTTTTTAAATTGAAGTAGAGCTGACCCAGTGTTCTGACAGTGTCAGATTTGACAGCTCTGTGCGTTGTGCCACACTCACCAGAAGTGTAGCTAGACAGAGTTTAAGTGAAACGTGTTTTATTGATGACTGAGATTAAAAACTGAACACTGCTGTGATGCAACCATCGGAAAACATGTGATTTCAAAACCTTCTATTTGTATTTGCCTCGCAACTTCTGCCAGGAACAGGGCACATGTAAGCTTTGTCATTCTCTTATGTCTGCTTATATTAGTATTTGCAAATTCTGGTTTCTCTTGGTTTGTGAGAATTAGTCTCATTAAATCAGATAGGTACAGAACTCAGAGTAAGCAGGCCCATGTAAAAGAGACGTGCTACATCCTAACCATCCTATGGGTAGCACACTGCCTGGCAGGTGAGCTTCTGACCTTGAAACTGAGCGACAGCATCAGTGTTGCTTTGTATATTAAAGAACAGTGGAAGTTGGCTTTCAATTTTATTTATATATAATTACAAATGTAAAGAGAATTTCTATTTTTCCCAGTATTCCAATAGATCATCTTTTCATCTCATTTTAGAAACCACTGGTTCACAGCCAGGATCAACTGTTCAGTTGACAGATTGGGCTTAGTGTTTAAGTTCTCACTGGCATAGTTCAAGTCTTAAAACAACTTTGTAACCTTTGTGGTAACAGATAATCATACTTATATTGTTGCTTGTTTCCTGTCCCAACTTTTTAAACTCTTCAAACTTCAATGTCTTCTTTATCCTTCATAGGAATCCAGTGATGTAGGTATCATTCCCACTATCAGGTGAAGAAATTGGGGCTCGTTAGTTGTGGTTTGCTCAAGGTTACATAAATTATAAGTGGCAGAACAAGATTTAAAGGGCAAAGTCCTTTTTACTAGACTGCCTTTTTCTGATAGCCAGTGCATTACATAAAAGTAAGTATTCAAATATTTGCCAAGTATATTATTAATCAGGGAAACAGTGGAACAGATGATTTTAAACCCCTCCGTGTCAAAAAGCACTTGAGAAAGAGATCCAGGATAAATAACTCAAGTTCTAAAATATCCCAACCTGTTCTTTTTCAATTGGTTAAGTATTACTAAATGTAATGATAATTGATAAAATGAGTGAGAACTCGACGAGGGGTTTGAGAATGTTTGCCAACCCTGGGTAATTTTGAAGAAGCAAATGGATAGCTAGTGAATCCTAGTAGTTTCCTAAACCTAAATGCTAGTGTGTGGAATTTGTTTACATTTTATGAAATTATCTGTTGAAATTGGCATAAATGAATAGAAACTTAAATTATCCCATCTGTGCCAGACAGTATTCAGACACTGATGTTTATATAAATGAAATAAATGAAAACCCTTAAAAATATTTTCGGCTACATTTCAAGCTGGATAGTGTGGCCAAAACTTCAGTTTCTTAATTGGTAATAATGTCGGAAATCACATTTCACAATAGAAGCAAAAATGACTGATACTGTGAGAACATTCAAATCAAGAAAATAACAGGCACAGCATGTGGTCCTTTCAAGCTGTAAGGTACTGAGTAGTCAGCTTCTGGACTGCTCAATGCCTCTTAGACTGAATTCTGCACAGATTAAGGTAACTTCAGGGTCTCTGTGATATCTTAAAAGCACTGCACTTCCATTAATTACAAACTTTGTATCTTTTCTGAGTTTCTTGTGTTATTGCTAAATAGGAGTTGGCATGTTTGCTGTCCTTTATTTTCTCTTAGTCATTAATTTATTCACTAATTCCATAACTGATTCCTTCCTTTTTTTTTTTTTAATGTTTTATTTATTTCTAGGAGAGAGAGACAGCGTGAGCAGGGGAGGGTCAGGGAGAGAGGGAGTCACAGACTGAAACAGGCTCCAGGCTCTGAGCTGGCAGTCAGCACTGAGCCTGACGCGGGGCTCGAACCCACGAACCGCTAGATCATGACCTAAGCGAAAGTCGGACGCTTAACCGACTAAGCCACCCAGGCGCCCCCATAACTGATTGCTTCCTAATGCCAGTTTCCTGTTTCCTGAATAAACAAAAAATCCTATTTTCACAGTGCTTTTTTTTTTTTGAGGAGAGAACAACTTCATAAGCTGCTGTGGAAGTGAAATGGGTCAGTATATATAAAACAGAATCTATGAGGTGGAGTCTATTATTATCCTGATCTTATAGATGGGATGCAAAAAGGATAAGTAACCTGCTTAGGATCGCGCAGCCAGTAAGTATCAGAGGTGGATAGAGCCTAGGCAGTCTAGCCTGAAGACCGTGTCTTTGACCTTTGCTCCCCATCAAAAAACCTTGGCAAAAAAGGTAAAAAGATTGAATTAGAAAATGACCATTAGGGTTGCTAGAGAATGTAAGTGGCCCTTACAGGGCCATGGAAAGCAATTTGGACTTGACTCATGAGAGTCTGTTAATCTTTTCCAACTTTTTCTAAAGGAAACAATGCATAAAGTAATGATCCTAAAACTTGTGAACCCATGTTTGAATTCTCCATTTACTATCCAAAGCAGTTAAATTTTTTTTTGAGAAGAATAATACCTGTTATCCCAAGGAATCATTGTGAGGCTCAAATGATACAGATGGAAACTTTGCAAATTGGGATTTAAACCTTTTCTTCATGTTTTTTTGGTATCTCCTCTCTGGTTTTGGCAGTTTGCTAGTATGTTTACTTCTCTAGCTCTTCGTGGAAAGACAAAGTATATGAAGTGGTTTGTGGTATTGGGAAGAACCCTTGATTCTGGGAGCCCTTGGTTTTATAGATTCTAGTTGGACCACTTTCTAGGTCTTTTTTTGTTGTTGTTCTTCCCTGAGACTATATTATCTCTATGTTTCCTTGCATTTCTAAGATTTATGAGTGACCAGTAAGATACTTATTATAAAGTGTGAACTGATAGGTATATGTTAAGGTGCTATAGTTCTTTAATGTTGATAAAGAAGATAGAGTCCTTAAACAAATGTGGTAAGAACCTGCAGCAAAATCAGTCATGCTTTGGTGAATTTTTCCCCCTCCTTTCAAAATAACAAGTCAGCCTTGCCATCATAAGGAAAGTTCATTTGGTGTTAGACATGAGGCGTGTAACTATGACTCACTTGTGCCAACCAGGTGAGCAAAACCACGCTGATGAAAAACA